TTAATAAGTACAATTAATTATTATCTTTCTCAATTTTTTGTCTTCTCTTCCCCCCCCCCCCCATCACCAGCTCCCCTAATATTTCAATATCATACACAAATTATAAATTTATTAGTATATATTTAAAATTTTACATGACATTCATGTAAACTTGAACGATCAGAAGGGAAGATAAAAATACAAATATTTCATCAAATTTAAAAAAAAAAAAAAAAAAACATCATTCGAATTAATTTAAAGGACTTCGTGTTATTTCACAAATTTTATATAAACGTGAAAATATCTAAGAACGATCGAACAAATGGTAAGTCAGCACAGTTAACCGAGGATTCATCAAATATCTTACTATCGTATAAGCGTAATATTATATTGGCGTTGAGTATGTTTAAAAAAAAATAAAAAATAAAAAAAAAGAAAAAAATAAAAAGGAATTGATCAATAACCTCATTTCAATTACTTGAATTGCCGACTGATGGATCATTTAAAAAAATTGAAAATTCGTACACCTTTTTAAAATGTAAACGATTCCAATGAATCATTATGCCTAAACTAATGAATGAACATGCACAGTATTTGCAAGGAGAGGTTTGTAAATTTGAAATTTTTGAAATTCTGACAGTTTGAAGGTAGTATTCTTGACGACATTATTCTTGAGACTTAAGAGGTGGGGGAAGTTGGGCCATGAAGTATAAATTTCGGATCCGTAAGCTAAGGTCTTCAGTATGCGAATAACAATGTAGCGCGCATCATATGTAAGCATTTAATAACTCAGCCATTGTTTAACTTTTTTTTTTCATTTTAAAAATCATACTTTTAATTTTTAACTTTAATCTTTTCTGGATTTATATAAATGGTTAGTGAATATCTATTTTTTATTTGGTCTTTCGAAATTTTGATATACTTTTGAGGAATACAACAAATGGAATTTTATTGTAAGTATTTATTCAACACAACACATATCACGAAAAATATCGCATTAATTGAATGTGAAATTAAGAGGATTAATAAAAAAATAAATAAATAAATAAAAAAGAAAGAAAGAAAGAAAAAAATTGCAGAGATTGTCGTTGGGTGAATTCTCTTCCGGTCTGACTAATAAAATGTCTCACCGGGTAGGATTTATCCAACATCTGCCTCTGTCTGTTACTCCAATCATCAAATATCAAGAATATAAATTTATTGATTTGTTGTCGGAGACGAAGTATAGATCCAGTGACAAAGTTATAATTAAATTGTGACTAGATCGAAATACTCGTCCTCGATGGCAAGAAATTACGCTGAGTGATTGTATTATACTGATTAAATAAAGAAGTCCTGTTTATTTTTCTTTGGTAATCTAGCTGTATGGTAAATTTAAGGTCATAAAGCTAGATTAGCGGGATGAAATACATGGGACACAACATCGATGAATTTTCGAATAGAAGAGAGAAGAAAGAAGATTAATTTAGAATGATTTGAGTCTGCGGGAACTATTGCTGTGATATGTTTTTTATAATGTCATATCACAGCTCTAATTGCCCAGAACCTTTTCATTTAATCTTCCTTTAAAATATTCAATTATAATTTTTATGTTAATAATCTATGATCAGAATGAAACTTCTTATTATCTGAAAATTATGTTAACATCAATCCCATATTTTCAAGTATGATATATAACAAATATAATTTAGATTGACGAGATTAATTAACCGTCACTGGGTTATATTTGCTCTACATCAGTACTGTTTTATTATCATCGCATCTCTATATCCTTAAATTTATATTTTATTACTAGAAATATTTTTATTATTGTATTAATCTTACCTTATTGGAAAGACAAGATTGAAAATCTGTCTTCATGTCACGTACAGATACCCGATCGTGAGGTCTTTTTGGACCACTAACACAAGATACTACAGTATTTAAGTCCAAGTAAATAACTTCAGAGAATATAGGATCTTGATTTTCATCATCGTAATTTCTTAACATACGTACAGCGGACAGATACTTTTCAATTTTCGCAATATGTTCTTCTGATCGATCTACAAAATTCATAAAAATTAGAAATATTTTTAATTCTTTCATAACATTATAATTTTGAATGGTGATCTCTTTTAACTTATATTTATAATAAACATTTATGTACATGATAAGAATAATATTATTTCAATATCTTACTAGTTTGTTTGAGATATGCTAAACTCTCTTTATCCACCGCAAAATATCCAACCGTTGCTCCATACTCAGGACACATATTAGAGATTGTCGCACGATCTGCTATACTCAATTGTGATACACCAGAGCCAAAAAATTCTACAAATTTTCCAACAACACCTACTTGCCGAAGATTCTATAAATATTCAGTTCTTTGTATTTATTAGATACATTGTATATCATACTCTGTATAATTTTGGAAATATTAAATTATTTACAGACCTTTGTAATAGTAAGTACTAAATCTGTTGAGGTCGCATATTGATTTAAAACACCTTCTAACTTGTAACCAACAACTTTGGGTATTAACATGGATACAGCTTGACCTAGCATAACAGCTTCTGCTTCTATACCTCCAACACCCCATCCAAGGACACCAAGACCATTAATCATAGTGGTGTGTGAATCTGTTCCAACCACACTATCAGGATAAAGAAGACTATTGCTATCAAATACTACCCTGGCTAAATATTCTAAATTCACTTGATGCACAATACCACTTCCTGGTGGTACAATTAACATATTTTCAAATGCTTTAGCTCCCCATTTTAAAAATAGAAAACGTTCCTTGTTCCTTTCAAATTCTATGTCTTCATTTTTTTTCAATGCATCTGAACTACAAATATATAGTTTCTTAAATATCTATTATATTATATATAATAATAATATAATATATTATTATTGTATTGTTAGTATTTGACATGTTATATTAAAATTTTTATTGAAATAATTGAACTTTAAAATATTCTTATACAATTATTTCTATAAATATTAATTATTAACTATAATTAAAATAAACAATTATTTCTAATTGTCATTGTAATTACTAACAAAAATAATAATTACCTTCTAGTAAAATCAACTTGTATAGAGTGATCAATCACAAGATCTGAAGGACAAATTGGATTTATTTTATCAGGATTACCATTTAATTTTTTGACAGCATCTCTCATAGCAGCAAAATCTACAACTGCTGGAACTCCAGTAAAATCCTTAAAAAAAAAAAAAAAAAAATGTGTAAAAATTGTTAATAAAAAGATATTGGAATCTAAAATACTCATTGATTTCTATACGTACTTGTAAAATTACTCTAGACGGCTTGAACGCTATTTCAACTCCTTCAGGAATCGTTTGATTAATCTCCCAATCAAGAAGTTTCTCAACATCCTTTTTTTTCACTTGAAATCCATCGCAATTTCGTACACAACTCTCTAATAAAACCCTTATCGAGAAGGGTAAACGGTCTAAAAAAAAAATTAAAAAAAATAAAAAAAAAATAAAAAAATAAAAAAAAAATAAAAAAAATAAAAATAAAAATCAACAAATATTAACTATCATATTCATTTATATTTTAATAAAAAAATTTTATAATATCCAAAAGTTTGATCTTTCAATAATATTATAAATAATATTATAAATACCATATTTTTCTCCTAATTGAGTAACATCATAATAACGAAGAGTTGGATTATCTTCTAAAGTCTTCAGCAACTGCTTATAAGGATTTTTATCTGAACATAAACGATATTAATTAGTACAGTTAATTAATGTAAAAGAATTAATGTAAAGATAATTAATGTATCGAATTTCAATTATGCAGACAGCATCATTATCTTATACAGTTATATAAAACATACAGATATTAAAATATCTTAAACAGTTATATAAATGTAAATAAAAAAATTTATTATTATATTATATATATATATATATATATATATTCCAATTTTATTATTACTAATATAAATGTAAAATAATATAAAAATAATACAATTGTATTAACCAGAATACAGTCATATATTTTATTTTATATTTATATACAAAAGTAATATTATGAAATATTTAATTTACAAAAAAATATTTTTAAATATTTGACAATAAATCTATATATCAATGATAACTGTCTATTTACCAGATGAATATCTCATTATTTTAATAATACGATTAATTTGAAATCTTCTAAATAGAAAAAACTGCATACCGAGCGCCCTCATAATTTTAAATATATTTCAAATAAATCCCTTATATATTTAATAATATACATTTTAATAAAATAAATGAATAATTATTGAAATATGTCAAAAAAAAAAAAAAAAAAATAATAATAATAAAGAAAATGAAATAAGATTGGTAAACGAATATGAAACTATCAACCCACCAGCCATGACCGCTGTTGCTTCAGTCACGTCGTCCATTCAAACGCAATTGTGATTTTTCATGACAGAATAATGAAAGAAATTAATCAGTAACTGTATTGCGTGCACTTTGAAGTGCAACCATTGGTTACACGATCTCCCTCTGGAGAGGAATACAACAAAGCAGAGTTTAAAACATAGATCTTATAACTCGTATGAAGGGGCACTGCTATGTCCCTTTTATTCATTTTTTAAATTAATATTTTAAGAAATATATATTATAAAGTAAAATTAATTTCATTGATTATTATTTTATTTTAATATATTTTAATATCTTTTAATTTTTGATCTGAACAATATGTTAAAAAATATAATGAAAAAAATAAATTAGAAAATGTTTCCATTGAAAATATCCATTATCTGGTTCAGTTGTATGAACATATAGATCACGTCTAATTCAAATTCGAAAAAATAAATCTTTACCATTTTGAAAAAGAATCATTTATTTTTGAATATTATATTTATAATTGATTTATCGTTGAATATTTTACAATGTTCAACGTAGATAACAATAGGAACAAACCAATGAGCGATAAGATATATTTAAGTCTCTCTTTTTATATAAATATAGTATACTTTTTATATAAATTTAGTTCTTTATAGTTTTCTACAGTTTCTGACGTGAGAAAGAAACTCCCATTTTCTTAGAATAAGATAATTTTTGATGCGCTATACGTGTACTATCAAATTGTACTTATAATCTTATTTCTTTTTATTTTGCGTTTCCTTTACAATAAAATTCTAATAGATCCAGTTTTTTTCTGTTTTAATAAAATGTAAGTTATAAGAAAGCTTTAAATTTACATTATATTATTTTTTACATACTTATATAAAATATAATTTTAATACTTATATAATTAACAAATTTATTTTAATAATTAAAGCATTACATTATGGAACATCATATCAGACCACCACAACCTTTGAGTAATAATTCGCCAAAGACTTGGTTTATTTGGAAAGAAGAATTTCTTATTTTTATGAGATTGCTTGGGCATATGTCACGCCCAGAAAATTACAAAGCAAATCTTTTTAAAAATTTTATAGGACCAATAGGGCTAGAAATAATAACAAAGTTAACATTTGATCGCCCAGATGATAAAGAAAATTTGGATATACTATTGAAAAAAATAGATGAATACCATAACCCTCCACGAAAGATTATAGAGACACGATATCAATTTTTTAATAGCTCTATGAAAGTCAGTGAAACAATAGAAAATTATATCCAAAGTTTAAGGGTACATTAAATATAATAAATGTTTAACATTGATCATTATAAAAACAATTAACAAGCCTTTATACAATTAATATTAATTCTATGTTTATAGGAGAAAGCAAAAGATTGTAAGTTTAATAATTTGGCAGAAAGTTTAGTAATAGATGTTATCGTTCTTCATACTAATGATAAACTATTGCGCAAGAAATATTTGCAAGAAGACAATCTTGATTGTGATAAAATTATAGAAATTTATAAAAATCATAAAATTGCATCATTGGAAGCTAAGTGTACAAATCCTACAGCTCCACCTAAAGAAAAAGATAAATTAACTACAGTTCCCAAAGTAACAGAACATAATAACATCCAACAAAAGAAAGCTTGTTGGAGATGTAAAACTACCCACGAAGCAAAACAATGTCCAGCGTCGAATTATAAATGTAAAAATTGTGGTAAAATGAATCATTTAGAGATATCTTGTCAAAATGTCTCAGCAGAAATGAATAAACCGTGCAATAAAAATATGGTAAGTTATTTTTTTTTAACACAAAAATATAAGTACAAAGATTATATTTTACTATAAATTCTATTTCAATGTATATATTGATATTATAAATTTTTTTAATTTATTATTTTAGAATAATATTTCTAAAAAAGGAAAATCATTGAACTGTAATAAAATATTGAACAATCTATCAAAATAATATTTTATAAAATAAAGTATTTCAATATGCAGTAATTTTAAAAAAGAATTTTGCAATTATATACTAAATAATATATAACATTTTAATACGAAAAGTATATTATTACTTAATATAATTATTATGTTGGTTTAATTTGTATTTGAATATATGTGATAGTAAATAAAGGAATAGGTTATATAAAAAAATATCTTTTATAATCAATATACAATAATTATTGATATATTATGCATTGTAGCAGACATTAAACAAATAACATTTTAATCAAATATGATATAAAGTAACTTTAATATTGGTCCCTAAATAAAAGCCCTCTTTAATAAAGAGCACTATTAAAATGAAATGGCACTATCTACATTTGTATTAATATGTTAAACACATTAAATGATGTCACTGTAACAAATTAAATGAAATAAACGTTTTTAAATTTGAATAACTGTTTGTCTTTCATAAATTTTTCATTTCTTATTTATATCTGTTGTCTTTTATATCTTAAAAATTGTAGTATAGGATAATTAAACAATATAACATTTTTTATTTATGATATAATCTATAAATTTAAATAAATAAAGCAATAATTGTCTTTGGTATGAAACCTAATGGATGAGTGTAGAAACGTGTAACTTATATATGAAGTCATAGATGCTAAAAAAAACTAAATATAAAGATAGAATGGCTTAAATAAAAGATAATATATAATTAGTATATGGCATTGCGCTACAATAGATTAATGTGATATGTACTATTCTTGAATATTTGATCATGCTTTTGTTTACCTCATTTAATTCGTGAAAGATTTATTTTTATTGTTTTTTCATGAACATATCAGCAAATTTTGGAATTTTAATTGGCACTAAATCCTTAAAGAAGATTTATGTTTATGATTTTAAACAGGACGGTTCCTATCAAATTACAACAATAATAATATTATCTTAAGTTAAAACTAGAAACATTCTTTTATGTTTAAAATTATTAATATGTTTCGCTAAACAATATGTTATATAAATTGTAAATATACAAAATATAAACGATATTTCTTTATCTTATCACATCAAGATTTCTGAATATTATATAACATTTATAACATTTAATAATCATTAATTAATTTAATGTTATTAAAAATAACAGATCTCCTGACGTGCATTAAATTTTTTGTTTATTTTAAAGTTATGTTTAATGTCAAAATTTATAAAAAAAAAGAATGTACATATGTTTTTACCAAACATTATTAATATTATCAAGAAAATATAAAAAATCTATGTAAAGTTTATTTTCGCATATAAAATTCAAATATAATTATTATAGATTATTCATTTTGAATATTTGTCATGTTTTAAATATCTTATAGGGCGTACAAAAATCTTATGACTATTCTCTCAATATCATAGAGGTAATAGTCTATTTCATTCCTAATAGCATTTAACCAGATTTTTCCTTTTTATTTATTTTTTTTTTTTATTTTATCTTTTTAGATTTCCCTAGATCATCTCTATATTATAGTTATAGATGAAATACTAGATGTTTGTGACTATGCAATGATTTTATATTAAGTATTAAAAAAAAAAACTTACTGTGAATAGTAATTGTTTACGTTTGTGATAAGCTTCAAATCTAGGGAGATATTACAATATTATTTTGTATATACTGTATGCAATCATTAGCATGCAGATAAGTATAAAGAAGAAGAAAATAAAAATAACGTACATAAATATGTCATGCTGAAGAACTGTCTTGAACATAATTTTCTATCGTACTTGATGAAAGCACAATATTCTTTAATCCATGAGCAGGTCTTTTTGGTTTTGGTGGTGGAGTCGGTGGCTTAGCTTGACTTTCAATGTCATCATCAGTAGGCGTTGGAAGTTTATTCTTTATCCACTGTCCAAACGATCTGTTTATATTGTTTGAATTTTCCATTATTGATGAGATACGATGATCATTAAATTCTTCTGGCAAATTGCAATAATCGGCCTCACGAGTTTTCATAGGGAGGGGTGGAGGTGCATCATCTTCTGAAGCAGTGCTATCGGTTGTACCAACGCTATCTCTATTATTTTCCCTTCCAAAGACATTTGCCTCAGAACCATTATGCGTATTTCTTAAATAATGTTGCGATTGACCTGACCAACGATTACTTATTCTTCGTTCTTTTTCCACTTCCGATCTTAATGGTCGTTTTGAAGTTAGCTAACATATATATCATAATCTTAATAAAAGTTGAAAACACAAGGATATATATATATATATATATATATAGCTTTAACTCTTTTTGCAATATGCAAATTTATAATATTTTCGTAAAGCTTCATATATAAAACTTAAAGAAAAACCAAATAAATAAAAAAATATCTTTAAACGCAATACTCATTATAGGACTGTACTAAAATCGAGTATTAAGCAAAAGCATAAATAATATCCTTTACCTCTTGGCGAAGTTCGAATATCGGGGTACTAGGGAAGCTTGGTACTAACGACGTAGTCGATACAGCCATACTAATCTGTGAGATTTCAGTAGGTATAGTATACCATTGACTTGTAGGCTGATCATTTTTTGTTACTCCAGATGAGTCGCTTTTACGTGCACTTCTTCTCTTAGATTCCTTCTTTTTGTTTGTACCAGGACTTGGATTCCCTAATGCCTTTTGCAACGAAGCTGATGATAAAATATGTGAACGTAATGAACTGGTCCTATAAAATTATATAATAAATTTATGATTATAATTTGTTTTTATTAATTTTAACTTAATCTTGTTATAGTTATTGTGATTTTGTAAAGATAATAATTTCATATACTTCATCTAAGTTACTTCATAAAACTTACTCTGTACTATTTATGTTAGTTTCAGACAAAGAATAACTTTCATTTCTGAATGTTTGTGCTCTTCGCATAATTACTCCTTGTGTCATAGTTTCAATTTGAAGATCACATGTCTATTTGGTAATCAATTCAATTAATATTGTCTTATGTTATAGAGTTATTTTAGATGTTAATAATTGTATCATTAAATTAATAACTTACTCTTTTACCATATTTAGCTTCTACTTGACTTTTCATAGACATAAAACATTGTTCCAACCTCTGATGAAATGGAGTTAGTTCAGGAGGTGCACGAGTTTTATGTATCTGTACACCAACACCTAAAAGTGGAATTTGTTCCGCTATCAGACTTTCCAATTTAAGCAAATCTGAACTTTCATCCGAATGGGATTCTTTGTAATCAACATTGAGAAAAGCTTTCTCATAATTATCAATGCCACCCATTACTGCAGGATCCAATACTCCATTTAATTTCATACTTAAAGGATTTACTGGAAGACTAGGATCGGTTCTGTATAGAAGATAACAATATTATTACTATTAATATATTTCGTTCATTTATGCATACACACAAACACGCACAGATATACACCAGACATCTAGCATTTATACTTACAGATGTATGTTTGAACTTTAGTAATTTCAAAACTAATAGTATAAAAAATAAAATAAAAAACTCATACCTATGTGCAACTATGAGATCTCTAAGTGCTGTATTTGTAGCTTCCATAGTTTCTATTGCATTACGAAGTGGGCTTACTAAATAAGTTTCACTAGAAATAACAGGAAACCATCTAAGAATTCCTGGTAATGGATGGCTTGTAACGAGAACAGTTCTTTCCAGCCATAATGAAGCAAATTCATTATTATTAATACTTCCTCCATCCTTTTCCTTATCACCGATATTAGAATTTGTATTAACAAAATCTTTTCTTGGTCTTGAAAACCGAAAACGCTGGACATCATTTACTCGATGATACCTAAAATCAATAACATTGTTTTTATTTAAGAATAATACATCTTTGCTATATAATTTAATAAAATTATTACCTCAAAACTGCATCAGCTGTTACAGGTTTTCCACTCAAACGATGTTTTTTCTCATCCATTAATGGTTCTACTTTATTAATTTGAACATACTGATGACTAGATTCTAAAATATCAACGGTTGGTGGAGACAATTTGTTCATTTGTTCTGCATTTGGTAACTGATTAAGTGTTCTTGAAGAAAAATCACTAAGTCGTTCATATTCTTTCCCGCGATAAACGAAAACCTATAATAATATTCATGTAACAATGGCAAAATTTTACATATAACAAGATAAAAAAATATTTTATAAGTATATACTTTATTTTGAAGGAAAGGAGGATGTCCACGACCATAATAAGCAACCCTGAAATATTCCGGCTCAGGTCTTAATTGTTTTACTATACAATCATAAAATTTGGCCATTCGTCTCAATAAAATGGACAATTGCAAATAATCAAATGTTTCTTCTTCGTATTGACTAACTAATTCTTTGCAAACACTAAGAGCACATTCCCACATTTTTCCTTTATCAAAATATTCAATCATATCATTATATAAAGCTTCTTTCAATTCTCTATGAGTTTGACATGATGGATATCTAGAATGAAGATAAAATCATATATTATCATTTCATTATTTTAATAGATTGATTAATCCAAAAATAATTTAACAAAAACGGATAAATTTACCTATGAGATATTAAAAGTGGTGGTAAAGGTTGATCACTCCAAGCTAATAATTGACTATGAAGTTTCAATGTATATGCTGCTTCTGTGTAATTATCACATTCTAAGTGAAGTTCACACAATTTGTTGACATACCTACGCATAAGAATTTTTGTTGTAATATCAGTTTAAAATTTTTTAAATAAAAGATAAAAAATTTGTCAAGTTTATCCATATCTTGTAATACATGCCTGATATACATTTCCTTTCTATTTATTTCAGAATAAAATTCTAATAAATTAACGGTACAAAGCATTCGATGTTCCTGAGATTCTGCATGAATAATATCACGATATTGTAATAATCGTTCCATTAATTTTGCAATAGTATCTACAAATCGTAAGCCTTGTTCTCGCATCGTTGAGTGATCTTCGCAAAGTGAATACATTACTTGTATCCATAATTTACGAAATTGTTCATCTCCCCTTCCTCCCTCTACCTGTGCAAAATAATAATTACTAAAATTTAACTTAACAATAATAAAAGACAATTGTATTAATATAAGTCTCAATTAATATTATATTATATAATCTAGCAATAGAATTTCAAATAATTAAAAATCCAAAGAAACATGTTATACCAGGATATCCAATTTTGCAATCATTTCATTTTCATATTCCATAAAATTAGCTTTAATGTGCGCAGGATCACGTTTTGTATCGCCGTATCCTTCAACAATGCGTGAACTATAAAATTCACATTGCATCATATCAAAAAATATAGGTATGGTAGCTCTTCTTAATTCAGTTTCTGGAATTAAAGCCATTTCTAATATCGCACCAACTAAAGCAGGAACAAACTGTATTTTATGTTGACCCAAATTGAACCACATTGATCGAATTTCAAACGCTGTTTCTCTATAAAGAAGCAATTACAATAATATGAAAGTAGTCAATAAATAGGATAATGTTAAATTAAATGAAATATATCTATAACTTAATTTAATGATTACCTGCGCATATCATTGTAACGCATAATAATTCGATTACGTTTCGCTGGTGAAAATGTTTCAAGTTGAAGAGCTGGTTGAGTCAGAAAAGCAATTGCGCAATGAAAGAAATTGGACCATGCTTGATTTTCAAACTCTGTGAAGAAGTAATCTCTAATGGTGCCAGAAAAATAGCGTAATGATTTTAGAATTACACTATTTTGAAGCATTATCATTTCACACCAATCTCCTGGAAATACAGATCTTGAAACCAAATCTTTGAATACTAGTAATATCTCCATTAAAAAATCGAGTAAATCAAATTTCGTTCCAAAATGATTTATATAAACTTCATAATGATGCTGTGTCATTTGTCTATAAATAAAAACAATATATTAATAAAAATAATATTATTTTTTAAATATTATCTTTACTATAAAATTATACCTGAATATTGCTAACATAACAGACACTAAGTTTCCGACTAATGGATTTTCTCTATCCATTGATATGACAGTTTGTATAATAGTTCTCAAAGCTGTCATCATGATTTCTTTAACATCAGCTATTGTAGAACCTATGTCCTTTCTGAATGTTAATTCCAAAATATCTGATAATATTTTAATACATAATTCTACCTGTATGAATGCAAGCAAAACAGAAATAAAAAAAAAATTAGCTTTGCATGTAGTCTATATTCAAGACGTGCAATGTACAAATATTACAAAAAAATATATAACATTTTCGTATCATTGTATATAGGAATCATTAAACCACTAAACATATCAAGATGATTAGACACATTAAAATGTATTCATCTTATATCATTTGATCTAATTGCGGATGATATTTTTAAATTCCTCCTAATTGGAACAGTTACCTCTTCAGAGTAGCCACGATGCTGGTTGAGTCGGTGGCGATTTTCTCCAAGCAGCCTGGCTACCTTCGCCACGCTTTTTCCAGGTGTACTTGACAGTCCCTTATATACCAAAAACCAAAACCATACCAAGTACACAAAAAAGAAAAACCCTTTGTTAATTGGACCATAATGCCAATTCTTTGTAATAACACAATGTAATTCACGTAATAATTTATAACGTTACTATAAATTACATAGTAAAATTATACGCAACACAAACATAGCAAATAACAGAAAGCAAGAACAAGATTTGCAAGTGAGTACAGTGGAAAAAGAGTTGTTATGTACCGATATTATTTTTTATTATATTTATATTTATAACATAATTCTATCGTTTTAATACTACTATGTTTATATAGATTGCATCGTACAATTTAAATAGTGACTCTATTCTGTTATATAAGAATTTCTATGCAATATTATATCATGCTTAAATAATATATGCCAAACTACAGAGATAAAGTAGACTAAACTAAATGAATGTAAGTTTTAAATATCATTCATTTTTTCATTTAATTGCTATTCTACTATGTTATATTTATAATAGTTATTATTTGTAGTAGTTTTGTCTCAAGACATATTAAACCAGAGAATTCCATGCAGAAGATAATATTTCTTTATTTTTTTATATTTCAAGCAAGAAAAATTCCCAAGTATAATTCAATCAAGAAAGATAAATAATGGTTTAATGTTTAGAATAGCATAGTATTTTCCACAATGCAAATAAGAAGACAAAAACCAATTTTATGTGTGTGAATTAATAGAAATGTTGGTGAAAAGATGCGTGGCAGAAGGACGTCAGGCTGCACGGAAAGCACATGTAATGATACCATATACAAATAGTATAGAATAAATTTGTAATATAAATGGGAGTTATATTAAATTCTGATTATACCAACCTCAATAAATATGAATACTGAATAATTAAAATAAATATGAATAATTAAAATAAGATGATCAAAGCACGATGTTATACGTGAATATTAGTATTTTATTACCAAATATAATCAAAATATAGATTAGAATCGCTAATCAAAAGATAGAAAATTGTTATTTTATTTTTATAAATAACTTTTTTTTTTTTTTTTTTTTTTTTTTTTTTTTTTTTTTTTTTTTTTTTTTTTTTTTTTTTTTGAAATAAAAAATATTTTATTTTTTATTAAAGCTATTTCTAAATTAGTATGAAATTAGAATGTTTAATGAAATTAAAAAATTTTTTTGTTTGAATGTTTATGGAAATTAAGAAAATTAGAATGAAATTAAGTAGAAAGATCTCACTCATATACCATAACTAGAAATTTAGAAGAAACTACATTCTACAATTACTTTAATACACTGTATAATAAATGAATGTATTAATACCTAAACTGATATTGACTTCCTATTAATAATAACAAAAATTAATTTAGATTTTTATTATTAACAATAATAAAAATCAATATATTCTAACATATACGCTCTTTAAATTTATAAATAAATTATGATCTTTAATAAGTTATGAATTATAATCTTTAAGATATCAAACATGATTATATCTTACCTCTTCTTTTGCTTCTAATAGATCGCGAACAAGAACAATGATTTTTGACAGCAAAATACCTCTGCAATCCACATCTAAAAAAAGTGGGCTATGTACAATATCATTTACTGTCATCATTTTTTGTTTTGTCAATCTTCCAGCTGGTAAAGTCGTCAATAATTCCGTTAATATTATACTTAATTGCGTGCCACTATAAACACGTAATAAATGAGGTATTGTTGTTGGTAAATATTTTAAGCATGCTCCTTGAACCAATAAAGTTGCATCTGTATTATGTCTCATAAGCTCAACAATAGAATGTAACAATTCTGTTAAAGTTTGTGAAAATTCTTCTTCATCGTGATTAAGCCTATTGAAATAATTGTGGAATCATTAATATCATTATTTATCAATGATTATATTAGAAAATTTAAGAAATAACATACTCAGTAAACAGAAGACGAGATTCTACAATAAATCTCATGCAATATTGCAAACTTTTCATTGTTTTTAGTAACAAATCACGTTCTTGTCCATCAGATGTACTAGCACCATCTATACGTTTTCGTAAAACTGCAATTAACTTTTTGTAGGCAAGAGTTGCAGAGAAGCTTTCAGAAATATATAAATCTAATATTGGTTGAAAATGTTGATATTTTCTATCAGATACGAGTCCAATGATGTATAGAAGACATTCAAAGACCATGTCATCATAAACATCACTATCCGAGTTACTCATCAAGATATTGAATAAGGCATCTAAAACGTCCTAAAAGAAATTCTGTATAATATAATTGTCCATTATTTTAACGCATGTGCGTGTATATATTTATATTATCATATCATTGTCGATATTAATGTATTAAAGATTTTTATTTTTCATAAATAAAATCTTTTCTCTTACTTGTAAAAATTTCACTATTTCTTCGCCATCTACTTTCATCAGAGCAGCTAAAGACTCTTTTAAATCAGTATTATGAGATGCCCAATTAAGCAAGCCCAATAAATCAACATTTTGTGTTAATTTTGTAGAGCAAACATTTGTTACTATTAAAAAATTATCTTTATTGCTTAATGTCAATGAACCCAAAGTTGGTTTCTTTTCTGTATGCAATTTAAACTAAGAACACATGAAATGTAATATTAGAAAATTTATATATAAAATATATTACTATGTAAGAATAACGTACGTGTATATATATATATATAAATGTTAGAATAACTAAAATCTTACTAATTCTATCCGTGTTGAAGGTAATTTTAAATATGATATATCCTTTTCCTCATATTTCTTTTGATCTAATTTATAGACTAACAATTCATGTTGAATATCTTGAAGCGTTGTACCATTGCGCTGCATTAATCTGACATAACTCAATGCAAATGGTTTTTCTGATTTATCTTTGGCTTCATTAGAACTTCGATGTTTGAATGTAAATTTCAAATGTGCTTGTTTGAATTCGTCTATTGGTATAGCAATTTTAAACGTTTCGCACCATCTAGGTTTATCTTCATGATAATATATAACGCTATGATATTCATCAATTGCCGTAGTTCCACCTCCTAAAGTTATGACACCTGGAATAGGAGTGCCACACTCGTTGCAGACTTTAACCTAATGGAAAATACATATAATAATAAATGGATGCATAATTTTAAGTATAGATTAACAAGTATAATTTTTTATATATTGTATAAATAAATACAATAATTAATTAAATAAATTGTGTATACAAACCGTAACTTCTACATTTTTATCAGTAGACTTTGCTCCTCTACTAAATTCACCACTAATTAAAGTCAGATAAAGGTCATTTCTTACATCACCTGGCAGAATTACTTCTGGAAAACCCATTTTTCTAGCAATAGCAACATTTCCAAGTACCAAGTGAGGATTTTCATCTCGTACCTGTATATTAATTATAAAGTTAAAATTGAATGTGATCATAAAAATGAATTATTATTTCTTTTTATAAAAAAGAAATATATATATATATATATGTAATTAAGTTATACAAATTAATGTCTGCAATAAATAATACAGTATATAATAATTAAAAAAACAATCACAATTATTACGTACTTGTTTTACATCTCCTCTAAGTAATTTCAAACTTGCCCATAATCCTTGCCCACCGCCAAAGTTGTTGTTACTATTTCCTCCACTTTTTTGAATGTTAGTATCTTTTTGTGCGATAATTCTACGTAAAGTACCATCTAAACTTTCCTTCTCACAACATCTGAAAATTAAAAAGAATAAAGCCAACAAAAAGATTCTTATTTAATTTTTAAGAATATACATGTTGTTATGCTAAAAAGTTATAATATTAGATTGCCCAAGTAATTTCAGAATTTTCAATATATTTTTTTTTTTGTGTAAGTAAATGATAATATAATTAAAATTAAATGGTAATTTAATTTTATTGAAAATTCCTTTATTACTTATTGGCCTAATTTTATATAAAAATATACATTCTTATACTTAGATTTTAATATCATATAAGAAAATATCATAATAACAAAAAATATGCTTACTGTACAAATGGAATGAAGTGATGATGTTCAACATCTCCTTCTAATTTACCTGTAATGTATAATGTAATATCCATAGCAGCGACACCAAATGGCCTTCGCATACTTTCATTATTTTTAATAACTTTCTGATTATTTTGTGCAATACTTGAACGACGATGATCTACTTCTTTGGCTTCCATACCTCCAACTCTAATAACATAACAAGCTAAATAAACTTTATCTCTAGCTAAATCTCTAGATCCTAGATCAGTAAATAATACTCGAAGATTATGTAACTGATCAATGTCTCTGGCGAGTCCTTCTTTACTCCAAGAAACAACATAATTTTCTGTGATAGCTTTCATTTCTCTACCATCATATAAGGTTAAAAGTAATTCTACATCTTCTACCATTTTACAAACAAAGTTTTTTACACTGACAAAGAAAATGTGAGAATATACAGGTGTTTGAGCTTTTAAAGATTTTTTCTTGGTTTCATTAGTAGCTTTTCTGATTCTTTCGGCAGCTGTTTCGTGATGATAATACAACTGAATAGTACTTGTATTTTCTGGATTCATAACATTCCCTTGATCATCTCTTACAACCATGTCCAAGTTTAAAAGTTGATTACCAGTATCTATTTTAGCAGTTGCTAATCTTTTAAGATCCTTCAACTCATCTATTGTTAAAGTGCCTTGTAAAATTTTACTTCTATATCCTATTAATGTCAAAATTTGTTCTTGTATTGCTTTAAAATGGTTAGAATGTATCTGTGACAAAAATAAAAAATGATGATAATAATGGTTTATATTATTAGCTACAAAAAAATATGAAGTTTATTTTACATTATTTAACTTTTTATATATTAACATCATATAATTAATACATACCACATATAAATGTTTCCAATGATGACCCCATTCTCTTAAAACACTAGTTATCTCATGTATTAATGTATCTATATTATTTTGATTATTTAAGACATGTATGTATGATTTAGGAAAAATTCCAATTGTACCCTTAATCTTTTTACGGCCATAATACCATTCACCATACTCTTCATAAATTTGCACAACTTCTCCAACCGTTAAAGGTAAGGCACAAAATCCTTCCTTGCCAAAATTGTAAATAGCTGAAATTAAAAAAAAGAAAAACCTTATGAAAAAGTTCATATCATACATAATACATGAAAAGATCATGTAATCAATATATACAATGTAAAGTATCATACATAACACATATTTTGATACATACATAACATTATAGAAAATCATATAAAGATTTTTATTCAATATAATTCTTAAAAAATTATTATTATCCTTAAGTAATAATTATTTAAAAAGACGAAGAAAAAAAAAAGAAGAAAGAAAAAAAATAAACTATGATTATAAATTTGTAGTTTAATTAATATATTAGTTAAAGGTTATAAATTTTAATTAATCTATTATAGAAAGAAATAACAAACATGTATTAATTAACATAGTTACAATAAAAACAAAACATTATCAAGATAATTGTATTTATTTATATCAAAGTATAACGAAGCTGCAACAATTAACATTTTATTTCATCTTAATACGGGGCACCTCCCAGGATGTAATATGTCGTAACGAAAACATTATAGAATTTCTTTGTGAAAAATTTACTTACCTACTCCTAAATGTTTCTTGATGCGCTTCCATGTCATTTTTATTTAAATCGTTACTTTAGTTTATTTATATATTAATAATTAAGTATTTTTACGTATACATAAAAAAAAGTAATTAAATATACACGTCAATATACACTAAGCAATTACATGTCGGATGTGCGCATTACGCATATAACCAAAATATTGTATTTTCATCTTAATATCTAGATAATATGATCTGAAAGAATTTATTCTCTACTCTAGATTTTACCAAGATTTATCCAAATTTACTTTACGTTTTGTTACACATATATATATATTCATATATACATACACACACATATACAAATATATATATATATATATATATATATATATGTATATATATACATACGTTGTCTCAAGAGTTTTCAAAATTTTGCTGTGAACAAATAAAACTTTACTTGCTTGTTAAATCTATATCCTACTTAGTCCATGACTTTTATACGAAGTGTAGTGGCGCTATCATCTTATCGAAACAAATTGTGATTTTTTGTTCTATTTTTACTTAATCGTAACTAAAACATCAATTAAAATTTGTTGTTAACGAAAAGAGTTAGTCTTTTCACGTATGTGAAAAAATAATTATTTTGTTATTTATTAAGAAAGGAGAAAAATAAAGTGGATAATAATTAATTAATGATTGAGATAAGCGAAAAAGCGCAATTTAGAGTTGACTGTACATGACATTTATAAAAAGGTTTCGATTAAAGACTTTTATTGTTGTTATTATTTCTGTATTTTAGGCCTTATCAAAATTTTCATTTTTGAATAAGTGTTCGATATCATTATTATCTGATTATCGATTGTAATTCTTTATCTATAGTAAGTAGGTTCTAATTTTTTCAAGTCATTTCTTAAAAGAAAATTTTCAAAAACTTTTGAGTTATATTTAATATTTTCAGATCATCCTTAGTTTATTATTTTAATATAAGATATTAACAGACACATATATATATATATATATATATATACATATATATATATATAATTGCATAGATGAAGATATAAAGATATAATCTTTCCATAATCATTTGTGGGAAGTATAATCAAATATGAATCGTGTAGATTTAAAAGTTGTGTTACTAGGAAATGCAGCTGTTGGAAAAACAAGCCTTTCAGAGCGTTTTGTAAATGAAAGATTTAATGAGAATTTATCCTATCAAAACGTAATTAAATGATTTATAAAAGTAAATTTATGATAGTGTAAAAGTTAAGATTCATAAGTGTATTTTGGATGTTTTTATTATATATATTGTAACAATTATATATTAAATAAAACATTGAATCAGTCATTATTTGTAGACAATAGGAGCTGCATTTGCTGCAAAACAAATAGAAATTAATGGACATAATATTGTAATGGGAATATGGGACACTGCAGGTAACGAAAGGTATATTATCTTAATTTCAATAAATGTTACATATTAATTTTGTTAAAGATTATTTTCACTCAAATAATATTAAATTTAAATTATTTATTTTAGATATGATGCAATGACAAGAATATATTATCGTGGTGCTAAAGCTGCAATAATATGTTATGATGTTACAAAATTTAATACATTTCAAAAAGCAAAATTTTGGGTAAGAGAATTGAGAGATGTAGAAGAAGAATGTAAAATTTATCTCTGTGGTACAAAAAAAGATATTTTATCAAACACTGATATGATAGCAGTACCAGATATAGATATTGTAAAAAACTATGCAAATGGTATTCAAGCTAAATTTTTTTTAACATCGAGTAAAACTGGGGAGAATGTTGGTAAGATCATATATTTGATCACACTGCTTTTTTTGAAGATAAACTTAAATTATTTATTTCTTGCAGTGGAATTATTTACAGAAATTGCTAATGATTTCTTATCTGTGCCAGAGAATTTACAAAAAGTAGAAGAAACAGTTGCTTTAATAAATACGCCCAAAACATCGCATTGTTGTTAGGCCATAAAAGCAAAAACAATATTAAAATTTTTAATACTTTCATTCTTCATATAATATTCAAAAGAGGTAATTTAATGTATATTAATACTATATATTAATATTTGAAAGCAAAGTTTTAACATACAATAAATTATTCTTATATGATACAATTATTAAACAAGTAATTAGTATTAGAAAAAGTTTTGTGCCTTCTTAAATATTATTCTAACGTAAAGATTAGATCAATGATTGCTAAAATATTCTCTATAATTGTAATATTTTTCTGACAAAGTGCATGTGTGCATCTTAACAGTAATTATGGATATAATTACTTGCATTTATATATTACAAATTAATGTACATTTCATTTGTTGTCTTATTTAAGCATTAATTATATTTTATAAATTTTATGTTTCTATAAATTTCAGAAAGAAAATTTTATTTTGAAATTTTTAAATATATAAGTTAATTATTTACTACTATAATGGTGCCATATTTAAGCAGAAACTGTGAAGACTTTCAGATAATTTAATTATGGTTTATCACCTTTAAGAAAATCAATACGGTTGTTTATTATAAACAAAAGTATTGTTATATATAAGGTGCAAAGTTTATTCATTATTTTTTAACGAATAGACGTGAGAAAAAATTTGAGAAAATGTGAAAATTTTTAACTTCGAATAGTGAGCAAAAAATATTTTTGCTTTTTGTTATTACTTTTACTATGTTTTGTTTTTTTGGTTTGATGTATATGGGAAAATTGAAGCACAAATTTCTCTGGATTGTTCATAGATACCAAAAAATACAAAACCACTAATAGTAAAGCCACCCACCCTTGGAAGAAAGCCTGCGAATAATCTAAAAGATATTTTTCAATGATTTAAACTATGACAAAACATTAAAGTTAAAAAGAGACGCATGACAATACCTAAGACTTCAAATAATAGAAAGATGCAATTTGTCCATACCCTTTAGGTCCATTCTCTCGATAAACTTCCTTTAACATCGTGGATATTTTAACTTCTTTTTTATCCGCTGTAGTCGAAGACAACATTATTCTAGTTTTTGCAACATCCAATGGAGTTGTAATAGCTGCAGAGACCGCCACTGTGAAATAATTTTTAGATTTATACATTTTTAATAATATATTTTGTTGAAATAATGGTATTATCAAATATTGCAAAAATTAATCTCACCAGATGCAGCACCACAATAAGCTCCTTCTAATGGTGTACATTCATGGTGTACATGCTGTTTCCAACAAACTTTAAAGTATTCCCATAATGGCATTTGAATGCATCCAAATGGCATGTCACGAAGAACAGTGCTGCCATATCCACGAAATAATGTTCGTAATTTTAAACGAGCTACATCAGCTAAAAGCGCTTGTCTTCTTTGTTTAAGTACCTCCACTGGTACTCGTATTAAACAAGCAACCTGCAATATAATAATATACAATTTTTTATTTGGATATATTTATGACACTTAATGGAATGATATTAAATATAAATTTAGATCTTTTACTTTTTATAATAGATTATCAAGAAGATGCAATTTTATATGCATATCATAATTAAGGCAATATTATAAGGAAACATTTGTTTAGGAGTCTATCTTGATATTTATATTTTTATATTTTATTTATTTATATTGATAAATAAACATCTTATATATTGAATTTTTATATGTTCGATGCTATATTCGTGTGAAAAATTTTAAAATAATTCTGTTACCATTTCACCTAATGATGCAGCACCCATATGTATAAATGCATGATATTGAGGTAATATTTGTGGTTGTAAGAATTCTTTTAATCCCTCATAAGTGATAAAGAATAAAGCAGCTGGTAAAAAAAATTGTTATATGTAATGGCAATCATATTTTTTGTATTCTATTTTTCATTTGTATATAAGATCTACCTGATGGAGCAGAGCCCATCATTACAGGTCCTATACCATGATACAATTGTTTGTAACCACCCGATTTTAAGAATCCATGTTGACTTTGTAAACGTGTTTTGAGAGTATCCAATGGGAAAAATATTATGTCACAAATAATTCCTGCAGCAGCACCTGACTAGTAATAATAAATTATTAAAATTTGATAATTAGTAAATACATATTTCAAAATAATAAAAAAAAAAAAAAAATATATATATATATATACAAATTTATAGTTCTTTCTATTTGTATGTTTTTTCTGTGAAAGGAATTTTGTATATTATTTATATATAATGTAATATAATACATATATATATATATATATATATATATATATATATATGTATATATATATATATATGTATATATATATATATATGTATATATATATATATATGTATATATATATATATATGTATATATATATATATATGTATATATATATATATATATATATATATATATATATATATGTATATATATATATATATATATATATGTATATATATATATATATATATATATATATATATATGTATATATATATATATATATATATATATAATAATAATAATAAAATAAAAATATACGGTTTATTATCTTGCGTATTATATTTTCAACGTTTTATAACAATAAGATTTAAAAGTTAATTTAAAATATATAACACTTCGTAATTGGAATACTTACGATGATAGACGTGGAAAATAAATGTTTTGCATTTGTAATGTCACTCGATTTTGCTTCTTCAGTAAACATTCCACTAAGTTAAATACTTTATTATGGGTGTATTTGAATATATCCAAATTCAGATTCTATTACACTATCTTAAAGAGTCACTGTATCGAAGTTTTAAAAAATTTATCAGAATTAGAATTAAAAACTGTAAATGCATTAACATGATCGCATTGCAGTAAGAAATTGAATAGTAGTAAAGTTATTTTCTTTCGGTCGAAAACTTCTTTCTTGAATACTCTATTTCATAATGAAATGTATATATTTATGCGCAGAAATAAATACTTGATATTAATTTTATAAAAATGATTGTTATCTAATATTAAACTCACCAATTTTTTTATATCTTTTTTCTGTTATACAAAGAATGAAAAAAATTTATAAACAATTAAGTCACGTGTCCTACACTACTCTATTGCAGTAACTGCTGAATCAATCGATTGTCGTCTGCTACTGACAATCGGCTTTCTAGAAACTAACCTCAAAGTCTCAGTAGTCAGATTGCACCGGAGAGAAATTTATCTATTAATCTACAATAGATTATGAAAATCCATTGTCTTTATTATAATATTTTTACCAGCTTGTGTATGTTAGATGCAAAATTACTAGATTAAAATAGGACATAGGGAAATTTGAGAATTGCGTCATGAAATATATTAGATTCAAGTGTAATCGTTGATGTTTGGTTATCATGTCAGTAATATTTATCTATTTCTTATGTCAAAGAAAGTATGCCCAAAGAATTATTATGGAAATACGATTTCACCTTATGTTTTAGATATTCTACAAATTCTACGTAATATATTGTCAACATCAATGTTTATGGCGGGAATCTCGAAATGTTGAATGTTTTTAATTAGATATAAATATGTCGCAATCGATCTTAAAAAGCAGCTTAGAAAATGCTTCATTTAACATCGTATTTCAGGTATTATATATCAATATATTTTTCTTTAAAAAAAGGTCTTGTAAATTTTTCAAGTTTTATCCTTTTATTACATTATCCATAAAAAAAATTTATTATATCACTATGTTCTTTTATATGTACCATAAAAATTCTTACAGATAATATGTCGCTGTGTAACATTTGTTCTAAATGCTTTTGTGGTACGTCATGTTGGACAAGCAATTTTGGGTGTAATCAATGTAAGATTACTACTTTTAGAATCCATGATATTATTTTTATCTCGTGAACCATTTATGAAGGCATGCTTAACTAATACGTCCGAACATAACTGGGCTCAAGTTGTAAATTTACTTTGGATAACGTTAGTGTACTCTATAATTACTTATAGAGATTAATTCATTAATTATACTGTTTACTTATGACTACTAATGAAATCATATTATATATTTACAGCATTAATTATATTTTTCAGAGTACCAATTTGCATTGTAATGTCTTCACTGTTTGGATATATTTGGCTCTTTTTTTTATCAACTTCTGAAAGTTTACCTCCTTACTATACATTTGCAGTGTGGGCAGTGGCATTATCTTGCATCATAGAATTATCATCTCTAATTGTACAATTAGTTGCCAATGCATTCCTTTTTGTTAAACTTAAAGTAAACAAATTTACTTTTATACTTTTATATATCAATTATTTTTAAGTGATAAATACATAATATAATTTTGTTTCCAGGTTATGCTAGATACAATCATGATTACTATCCGTACTTCAACGTTTGTACCATTAATACTTTATTATCCAGAAAATGCGTTATTTGCTTTTGGCATAGCACAATTAGTCGCAGCAATATTTTATACAACTAGTTATTATGCATATTTTCATTATTACATTAATAGTATAACTAAGTTCAAACAAAAAAGAAGAATGTCCTTGAAGGATATGAATGATGAATATATTTCAACAGAATTTCCATTTCGAACAATAAAGGATTTTTTGCCTGGTCAATTAGAAAATAGTGTATGTATTTCTTTTAAGGTTTTCCTTTTACCTCTTTATAATCAAAATAAGAACTTTTCAGGACTCATATTTAGATAAAAAATTGACTATATTAACATGGAGTTTCTTTAGACAAGGTATTTTAAAACAAATTTTAACAGAAGGTGAAAGGTTAATCATGACCGTTATACCAGTACTCTCGTTTACTGAACAGGTACTTAATTAACAAATATTCCTTATTTATATTACATTTTATTATGACATTGCATAATTATTATTTTAATATGTAAGGGAACGTACGAGGTTGTCAATAACTTGGGTTCTTTGGCTGCAAGATTTATTTTTCGTCCAATCGAAGACAGTGGATATTTTTATTTTACACAAATGGTTAAAAGGGATAAACCTTTATTGGAACAAAATCCAGTAAGTATATAAATTTGTAAAAGAAACTTATAAAAAAATTGAAAGAAGTATGAATTAAAATAAATTACAATTTGCAGATAAAGATTCAAGAAAGTATAAGTGTACTCACGCATATGTGCTCAGCTGTTACAGCTATCGGCTTTATAATTTTAGTATTTGGACAATCTTATTCGAGTACATTACTTTGGTTATATGGTGGAGCAAAATTGACATCAAATTTACCAGTTCTCTTATTGAGAACACACTGTTTGGCTATATTATTATTGGGTATTAATGGTGTGACTGAATGTTATACAAATGCAACAGCTGACAGTGCTACTATAAATAAGAACAATTTGATAATGATCTATGAATCAATAGCATTTCTGGGTGCATCTTATTTATTTGTTATTTGGTTCGGGCCAGTTGGTTTTATTCTTGGAAATTGTTTTAATATGAGTCTGAGGATTGCGCATTCAATGATATTCATTAATAAACGTCATTCTGGCGCAATTCACAATCCTTTACTTGGACTAGTACCAAAACGAATGTTCTTTATTACATTATTACTAGCTACAATTATCACAAATTTATCGCATGTAAAGAAATTTTATTTTTTACATTCATATATATATATATACATATATATATAATAATAATCAAAAAATATTATAATTAAGTTAATAATGCATTTGTCTGTGTATTTTTAGGTCTATTTCTTCCCAGATGAAAAAATGCTGCATTTGTTAATTGGATTCGTAGCACTTATAATGGTTCTTATTGCATGGATATATGAAAATTATGAACTAATTAAACTTGGTGGTAACAAGTGGTACGAAAGGAAAAACAAATATAAAAAGAATGATTGACCTTAAATTCCTAAAATGTAAATATTTTATTAGTATTTGGATCCTTCAAATATTAGATTCATAATGCAATTCTATAATCTTACAAAAATCATAATAATAATTTCTATATTTCGAAAAGAGATAATCTTATAAGATAATATTGCTGGTTATAACATAATAGGTATATAATTATCTTCCTTTCTATGTATAAGAATAAGTAACAAAATACATCATACTTTATAACATATCTTACTGTAAATTAAAAATAAGGGCAAAGATAATAATATTAATTTGCAATATGTTTATAAATTGCACCAACTATTGGTCCTTGTCGTTGAATAAGACATTTCCTATAAGAAATTAAAAGTATATATTTTCAATTTAATATCCATTTGAAAAATGTGCATATTACTTGTATATATATATATATACACACACATAACCAAAGTATTATTTGCATTACCTGTTATCATTTTGGATTGTTATAATTGGACAAGTTGAATCAAGTTCTAATTTTGCAACTTGATCTGCAATGGCCGCTATAATACCTGCACTATCGCTTGAAGCATTACCTTTGACTAAAGAATATTTATGTAGAAAAAAATTTGTTATTATATAATATATACATAAAAAATAATATACTATAAAAGGTTAACTTATTTAACAACGTACCTCCTAAACATAATCCAGCACGATCAACCAGGATGCAACCGATTATAGCTTCATTGTTTTTTCTAAGAAATAATGAATGAATATTTAAAATAAGGCAAGTTTAATAATTTAATTCAATAAACTAACATAATAGTTTATTATTGTTCTTTTTTCTTTTTGTTAGATATCAAAATAAAACGCCCGCGCAAAATCACACACACACACACACAATTTATACAAATGAAATAATATATTTGAAAACTTACACTTCGTCTAAAGTTTTTTCAATATTTTTTTCCATTCTGAAGTTTTTTGTAGGTAGAATTCAAGAAAATGACTAAAAAATAATATGGAAAACTTAATACAAGACGTTTAAAAGATACTTCGTAATATACATGTCGCCATTTTATATGAACCTAACGTTACAATACGTTAAAAACGGTGATTCAATGTAACCTATAGGTTGGAATCATAGCTGTCAAAAAACTTAAACGAACTTGAGTAAGAATCGTGCGCACAATGTTACGTAGCTTTATGTAATCACTATCTTTTATATAAACGTAATGTTTATTTAAATTAATGGGTTATAACGAGTATAAATATATCCCGTTCTCGTTCTTTTAATCAAAAATATAATGAATATCTTTAAATTAATCGTTAATAATTAAATATTTTTGTATTTTAAAGGTACTATAAATTAACTGAATTAAGTCTAATAATCATTATATAAAAATTAATGTAATATTGTATTGCGATAGAATTTATTTTATGAAATCAGTGCAATAACTGAAGTCAACAATGGAAACAATATCTAGCCAGAGCACAATAAATATTGATATACCACAATTACCTATAGATGTAAGTTAATTATTTATTGAAAATAATATCTAATAGAAATATAATTTTTAGAATGTCAAAAGATATTTAAAAATTTGAACAAATTAGGTAATCATTGTAATTGTTTATGCGCATTGACATGACGAGTATAAAAATACGATAATAAAATCTTTTTCTCCAAATATTATTTCTAAATTCTTTTAGGACAATTCCTTATATTAACATTTCTTTTTTTTTGCATTATTCCTATTAACAGGTAATTATACATATAATGTCATATCTATCTATATCTGATAGAATGGCTGCTGGATTGGTTAATCGAATATGGCATGAAGCATCCCTTGCCACAAAATTTATAGATCAACAATTAATAATCCTTGGTCCACCACGAATAGACAATTTAAGTGATGTATTACATATACTAGAACATTCTTTCCGACCATTTTATAATTTTATTTTTAAAGAAGTGGAATTAAAAAGTACAATGTCTCTTTGGAGACAATATGGACCTTTTATGAAGAGTCTTCATCTGGTATAATAAATTAGTTATTAAAGGCTCAAAATTAAAATTAAATTTAATTTAATTTACAATTTTAATACTGATTAAAGAGGTTATATTCAGTATCGGTATTAAAATTATAAATTAAAAATACATTATGTTCCTAATTAATTTTACTTGAATTATGGATGATAATCAAATATTATATTGTTTGCAGTTCTGTTGTGATTTCAGTGAAAAAACACTCATTGGGATTCTTAAGCATTGCAACAGTTTGAAAACATTACACATCAGTTCTTGTCGAGAATGTTTAATGTCCGGCAGACTTTTGGAAGATGACAGCGATATAAAAGAACTCTCAGAAAAATTAAAATTTTTACACGAACTTAGTCTCACTTATAATCGATATTTAAGTGATGCTTTATTTAATAAATTTATTTCGATATGCCCAAATGTAAATACACTCAGTCTAAAAGGTTGCGAAATATCTTTTCATTGTGGCTTGTATAAAAAATTTTATCCTAATAATAATGTGATTACTTATGGTTCAGAATCAGTATTAACATTTTTAAATATTTTGCAGTATATTATTTCTTCTGCAAAACAATTAAAACATGTAGACTTTAGTCATACACTTATAGATGGTACTGCTTTAGCAACTCTTTCAAAATTGGAGAATCTCAGATTGGAGACATTAAAATTACAACATTGTAATCAGTTAACTATTATTGGAATTAGAACATTAACGTATCATCAAATTCATTTAAAATTATTAGACATAAGCTTTTGTACTCGAATCACAGATGTTAGTCTCATTGTTATATGTAAACATCTGAAAGAATTAGAAAGTTTAAATATAAGAAGATGCAGGGCAGTCACAGATGGTGGTATACAACAAATACAATTGCTCAGAAATCTAAAAGAATTAGATATTTCAGAGTGTGAGCAACTTACCTCAAAATGTATCACTGATGGACTTTGTAATGAATTACAAAATAATTTACAAACAACTGACAATGAGACGGATATGAAACCAGATAATATAAATTTAAACGTGCAAGAGGCAGATTGTTCTACAAAAAATGATATTAGAAATGATAAAATGTTGAAACTTTCCGTAAATGCTTTGAATCTCGATGAATCATGTATTAAATGTATAGTTAAATGTTTTCCAAATTTAAGGTACCTTGATGTTGGTTATTGTTTCATAGCTGTTACAGATATTACAATACAGGTAATTAACCTATTCAATTAACTATTTTTATTTTGTTTTATACAGTTCATCTTTTATTATATTTTTCCAGAAAATATTTGAAGAACTTGTATTTTTACGAACATTAAAAGTAACTCATTGTGATAGAATAACAGATGCTGGCTTAATGGGTATTGATACCAGTGATAATATAGACATACAATCACTTCAACTTAACGTTACTGATAAGCCACCAGAATCATTATTACGAATCAGTTTACGTTCACGAACAGAAGAAGAAATAGTATGCGATGCTAATAGAACATGTTACATTAAAAATTTATGGAAGAATATTTCAACTTCATCGCCTACAACAATGCCTGCATTTAGTTTGACACGTCTGAAAGGTCTTAGAGAATTGGATCTCTCGGGTTGCAGTAGGATAACCGATGTCAGCTTGAAACATAATTTTGCTTTTATAGAATTGAGGGTATTAAGTTTAAGAAAATGTTGCCAGGTAAAATATTATGACTTATTTTTTTTTTTTTACGATTATTTGTCTAATTAAAATTGATGCAATATATTACAGATAGAAAGATTAAATATGTATAACAATAATATCATAAAATGCTTACAAGGTATACTTTTGCATATTGTTATGCTTAAATTATTTTGCAGATAACATATGTGGGATTAGAATATCTAGCAAAAAATAACTCTGCTATAGAGGAATTAGATTTAACACAATGTTATAACATATCAGATTTGGGTGTCTCATATCTTGCTATATATTTACACAGATTAAAACGTCTTCATCTTCAGGTATATTCAGTATTAAGACTTACAATTAGATCGTTTTAATTCTAATATAATTAAATCAAAATTAAATACTATTAAATATATTAAATTTATTCTAGTTTTTCTTTCTTTTTTTTTTTTTTAAAAGATTCTAATATCTATATTTTTTGTTCGTTAACAGGGTTGTATACAATTAACAAATCAAAGTTTAGTATATATACAAGAAAATTGTAAAAGTCTTCAATATCTAGATATACGATATTGTAAAAAAATAACAACTTTTGAAATACGCAATTTGCCTTTTTTGCATATGGAATATACACAGCCAACAGAAAACAGTTTATTGTTGGATAATAATATGCATGCATCAATACCTATACCACCACCTATATATAAATAAAATAATTTTTTTTTATTTAAAATTTTATACTTGAAATCATTAATAACGTGTGTATAGGCACACACACACTGGCACACACACTCACACACTCTATATGAACGAATATATATATATATTCTATACATTTATGATTAAGAAACTGAGATTAATATTGTTTAAATTAAATTAAATTTATGTATATTTAGTTATTAGTTAAACAATTAATCCAAATAGGTATACAAAAATTTTTAATAGTGTTTGTAATGTTGGATTTATGTATATAGTATAATAGAGAAGCTCATGTAAAAATTGAACACGGACGGAGATGGAAAAAGAAACGGTACTAATTTTTTGTTTGCTCGCCTATACCATTACTTAAAAAACTATGAAGGAAAGAATGTATCGATAATGAAAACAAATATTATACGTAAACGACAAATGTATATATATATACACACATATGTGTATATATGTATATATATATACACATATAATATATGTATATATATATACACATATGTATATATATATATGTATGTATATATATATATGTGTGTATATGCTGCATGATTTTAATAAGCAAAGAAAGAATTTAAGAACGATTAATTATGACGAAAAAATATATAATTTTTACAAAGAAGAGAAACATTATTGGTTTGTATTTACAATATGATTCATTATATATCCAGCATTAATAGAAAAAAGTTGGAATTTGAATTATTATTTTGAAATATTTCTACACTTTTCTTTTTATACTAACTTTGTATTTATTATTTATATTTTTATATTTATTTTCTCTTATTTATTTATTTATTTTTTAATTTTATTTTTGTTTTTCTTTTTTACTTTACAAAATTATAATGACACTGAGAGATAAATGACATTGCCTTTGAATAAGTGAATGCAGTACTATGGCTGCAGACGTAAAATGGGTGATATTAAGTCTCTGACTCAGAGGCCTGAAATTAAAGAAATACGTTTACTAATATGAATTTGTTATATTTATTTAAATTGTCTGCATCCAGTGACAGTTTTAGAACATAGATGAGAGTATTGCAATATATTTAAATCTAAGTATACAACATACTATTTAGATTTCTTGTAATACTGAAAATATACATTAAAAACGAGATTATATGCGTAAGAAGAAATTGTTTTTCAAACATAATAATATTAACGAAATTTTTATTTTCCAAAGCAATGTATGAAAAAATATATCTTTTTCATTAGATATCATACATTTGCTTCATGAAAATGTAATTACTTTTTGTAAAAAATTGTTAACTCTAATAATACAGTAAGCCAATTTTACTTAATTATTTAAAATCTACTTACTTGTGGATAATTTAACTCAACGCCAAAAGTATTTGTTTATATCATTTTGTTTTGTTTGTTTGTTTTTTTTCTCTTTTTTTTTTGTTTTTTTTTTAAAGCTCTTTTGTACATCATTATCGAAAATAAAAACAGATAATAATAATAATCTGTATGGCTGTTGAGCATAATAATTAGTCATATCAGCTCGCTTCATTAGAGAAATATCTCACTTCTGTGTCCGAAAACATCACTGATCGGATGATAAGAAAAAACTAACTTACACTAGGATCGCAGTCAGCACAATGCCAAGAATAGCCTCTTCTTTTAGGAGATTTTTTCACTGGAGGGTCTAAACACGTGAAGTGATAGCATTTTTTGCATTCATCGCACCTACAAAGTACATAATATTTTACAAACAATAAAAATAAGTATAGAA